ACGAGAGGACCACAATCCCCTCTAGCTTCCTTCGTTTGTTGTGGTGCGATCTCGTCTCTGCTAACTGTAATATTGAGCTTCTTTGGCTTCTTGTTTCCAGAACGAGTCCAATAATTTATCGCATCCAAGAATTTAGCCAAATGAGAGCTTCATCCCTTAATAATATCTCTTAAATCAGCCAATGATATGTAATTTATCATGCTGTCATATACTATTGCCTTAAGGGATGGGAGCTGAAGCTCGACGAGAATCCAATGTTTACTTTCCAAAACAGGGATAAATACCTGCAATAATAAGTAATAATTCATTCATTTGCGCACTTATTTATGAATACCTTTAAACTCAATCTAAAATAAATACTAACCTTATCGACCTCCCACCATGCAGGATAAAGTTTAGCTTGTCCATTGCCAAACGCAAATGATTCATCTCGTTGATTCTTCAAGTGAACGGCGTTAAAAGACGTCGGCATAATTGTATATCGTGTATTTCTTTTATTTTTCTTAAGTTTCATAATTATTAGAAGATGTGACACCCACGTATCGATATGATGTTTTACAAAAAAAGACATATATTAGTGACTTACATAAATTTTTTAAAAAAATAATCAAATTGAAATATAAGAAAAATATAAGACTTACCCCTCCATAGAAATAGCCATTGTCTTCGACCCCTAATAATACGCCCCACCAAGACCGATCAAGCAACAAATAGATATCATCGTTGAGCTTGCATATGTCAGTGAAACACCCCTGGCTCCGCTCATGTAGATAAAAATCAACTGCGGTCTTAGCCCAAAGGGTGTTATCCAGAATTGTGTCCGGTAGTTGTCTCCTCTCCACTTCAGATACCGGAATGGTACTGGCCGGTAACTCATACAAGAGCCAACTCTTATCCATCATGTCCGGCACATCAGAGGGTTTCTCAAGAATCTTACATATGACACCATGTGAATCGGGCTCTTGAATGGTGGGAGAGACCTCTTCAACGATGACAGTGGCCTCTTGAACGGTGGGAAGGGACTCTCGAGGAATAATAGGGGCCTCTTCAACGATAGGAGTGGACTCTTGAGGGATGACAGGCGAGTCGGGCTTCTTCTTGCGGTGTCTTCGCATTATTGGGGTGTACGGAGACTTAATAGCACGTGCACGCCGTCTGATGCGTGAACTCCGTCGTGCATGAAAAACCCGACGTAAAGCATCCACCTTATCGGACCGCTAAATAATTAAATACAAAAATCAGTAAACAAACATACATGATATTTAAACAGTGAAAACAAAGACAAATACTAACTTCACAGTGTTAAAGAATAAATAGTTTAGCAGTATTGGTAGCAACAGAATAAATTTACTAAGCAATCTAAGTGAAATGGTTAATCTAAGTGAAATTACGAGTAAATTTATCATCAAGTTAAATATGGAAAATCTTAAACTTACCTCGTTGCGTAGAGTATGAACCTCATTCTACAACGATACTACCATCTCACGTAGAGTGGTAACCTCACTACGTAAAGTAGACACCTCCACACGCCATGCACCATCGTTATCGCGTAGAGTACCGATCTCCTCACGCAAGGCGTTGACCTCATCACGTAACTCCCTTGACTCATCCCGTGGAGGTGGAGAACAGGGAGATAGAAGTCGTGGCATCTTTGCCGGGCGCCTATCATGAGGTGATGGTGGAGAAGAGGCTCGATGATGTGACGGGATAGGTGATGGCTCTCGTTGTAGAGGTGTATAGTCGGGTCGATCAGGTGATGGCTCTGGGTGAGGTGATGGCTCTCGAAGTGGAGGCTGCTCATCATTCGTGCCATCAAAAAAATGTTGACTAGCTTGCCACCAATCAGTGGCAAGCTCAGCCTCCGTGGGTGTCAGTCTCTGTAATGGAGTGTTGGCCTCCTAAAAATATAAAAACTCAAACAAAGTTAAACGTCTACTATTAATAACTTGTTTATATATGATAGTATTTGTGTTAACTTACATTATTTATTGTCGCATATGGTATTAAGTCTTCCCAATCCAACAGACGTTTCCCCTTCCAGGAAATAGCCCTAGGAATATCATTTGAAGTTTTTAATGCATATGTCCGCATGTTGGGGAAAGCCTCGAATATCCAAATCTACAAACAATATAATAACAAACATTAGTAATTGTTAAATAATTAATTATAATTTTGAAAATATTATATATAAATTCTTACCTTAAAGGCCCAAACAAAGCCTGACAAAGTGTATTTCGACCCATCGCCACGCAAACTTTTGCGGTCATCAAAGGCAGACGACAACTTAGTCCAGGTAGCTTTCCATATATACGAACCCCACGGAAACAGATTCCATGCATTTAGGTCCTCTACCAATAATATTAGCTCCTGAGGAATAGGTTGTCTGGCCTCTCTGCCTAAAAAGCCGGCATACACAAGTACTAGAAGGCATACTCGGACAACATCGACGTCATTCATCCGAGTAAAACCATCTTTCTTATTAAACAATTTCTTCAGGTCTTCGACGTGTAAGTTCGGCTTCTCTATTGACTCATCAGGAAAAACTCGGGATAACCATGATGGGCGGGTGATATGACGAGTGTACCGGCCTACATCATCGTGTCTGAATCGTAGACCAGTGATTAAGCAGAACTCCTTTCGCCCAAAACAAGTATACGCCGGTGGAAAATGAAACCATATCTCTTCCTCACCACGTTGTATACTGTCGGGTAGATCGCTAGTCATGGTCTGAAGCCATAAATGGGTCAAATTAGCATCTCCACCCGGATGTTGTACTCTCAGCCATGGCCCGAAGCAGGTTTCCTCAAACAATTTTCTTTGTGCAGGTGAAAGCTTCGAAGCAATTGTAGTGGCTAGGCTAACTTTATTCCTTAATGTCAATGAAGCCGAAAAAAATTTCTACAAAAACAATAAACATACCAAGTTAGATATACCAAAAACTACACTATGAAGATATACCAAAAACAATAAACATAAAGAGTAGTAGTTTATTCTTGAAACTAAAATTTGAAACACTGTTTTGTCTTTTGGTTGAAATGAAAATCGCAACGAGAGAATGAAAATCGCAACGCGGAAATGACTATCGCAACGAGAGAATCGCAACGCGAAATTAAAATCGCAACGCGAAATGAAAATCGCAATGCGATTTTGGTTTCGCGTTGCGATTCTCTCGTTGCGATTTTCATTTCTCTCGTTGCGATAGTCATTTTCGTGTTGCGATTTTCATTTTCATGTTGCGATCTGAGTTGGATTGCATTACTTCAACCAAAAGGCAAAACAAAGACAAATACTAACTTCACAGGGTTAAAGACAAATACTTATCATCAATTTCAATATGAAAAACCTAAAATAATGCAAAATTTTCAAAATAAAAATAATTAAAAAAACTAACCCTCGGAGGTTGATTTTCCATTTCTGAATGATTGTGAGGGATTTCTGACTGTGAATGGTTGTGAGGGATTTCGCCGGAGATGGGGACGGAAATCTTCGGAGATGGGGACGGATTTCGCCGTAGAGAGTGAGAGATGGAGATGTGACTGAGTTGTGATTTTTTTTTAGGTTTTAGGTTATGAGTTGCGATTACGGGAGTGGACGGTTCAGTGTTCCGATAATTAATATTCGTGTTTGGAATTTGAAAATAAAATACGCGTAGCGATTATAATGACGCTTTAAAAATCGCGTTGCGATTTACGTATTCGCATTGCGATTTACGGATACGCATTGCGATTTACGTATTCTCGTTGCGATTTACAGATACGCGTTGTGATTTACGTATTGTCGTTGCGATTTTACGTATTGCCGTTGCGATTTACGGATACGCGTTGCGATTTTACGGATACTCGTTGCGATAGTCAGAATCGCGTTGCGATTTATATGTTCGCGTTGCGATTATGGAAAATCGCAATGCGAATTTGTACTATCGCATTGCGATTCTTCATAATCGCGTTGCGATTCTGGGAACTGATTTGCGATTCTGGAGATCGCGTTGCGATTTTTATTTCGCATTGCGATTTTGTTGGTAATTTTGGTAAATCCAAAAAAATTTGGTTAAAATCGTATATTATAAGGCATTTTTGATCACTGAGATTATTTTCTCTTTTTATTACTTAGCCTCTCACTCTCTCCCTAACCTATAGTAAAATTTAATGTTTAATATTCTGTATTTCTTGTGACCATTACGAATCTATTCTATTTACTTTAAAAGTTATAAAATCTTCATAAGTATATATATTCTATTAATTTTATAATTATTTATTGAAATTTGTAATTATAAACGTGATCAAAATCAACCTTAATCATGTGTATTTCGAGGATCATGTAGGAAAGTATTTCCATAGTCAATATGAATAAACAGGGTGATATTAGATCTCCCTGCATTAACCCTTGTCTTGGCTCAAAACTTTATGTAATCTCACTATTACAGACAGGTTCAATTGAGCTAACTTGACACAAAACATTATTAACGCTATCAATTCTTAGTATATTTTTTGATCCGTTCGATTTTAATTATCGGTTCAAAAAAGTTTAGCTCCGATCCTTACACTATTAATTTAATATATTTTGATCCCCGATCGTTAACTCTGGTTACTCAATAACAGAAATCTGGGAAGAATAAACAAACAACACACACCTTACAGATACAGCTGTTCGAACTCAGGACACCTAGGAAAAACAAATACTCTTCTTCGGCTTTTAAGGTTGCCATATATATCTCTATGCAATTTTCATTTTATTTTTTAAATTTCAAGTCAGGCTTTCGTTACTAGGTAAACGAAAGTTAACAATCGAGGAACCAAAATCGAACGGACCGAAGACATAAGAGATTAGAACCAAACTCACTTGAATCGATGACTAAAATCAAATGAACCAAAAATACAAGGGACCACCAATGTAGTTTTTCTATTGTTTGGGGGGACACTTGTTTTGGGGCCTAACGACAACGACAACAACAACAAAATTATATTTAAAAAAAACAAAGTATCAAAAGCCATTTTTGAACATTAAATGGCATAGATTGCACCCACTTCAGTATCAGAATCTGATAAACTCAATGAGCCTGCTTGTTTTTTCTCTCGCTTTCTCCTTTTTCGAATCCTTTTGTTTTTCAAAACTAAAAGAGTCATGCCACCAAGTACTCCTGCCATTGTTACTCCTCCTATAACCATTACGAGAATCGCCGCCCACTGTTGACGTCGACCGACTACTATATGTGCCGAGGCGACAAACGATATGCTAGTGCAGATGGAGGCCAACCACATCAACTTATTGATCACCTGGATGAACCTTTTCTCCGTGTTCAGTTCTCCTCTCACGACCGTGATTTGTACAACCACGACCGCCAGCGAAGTGAAGAGCGCGATCGCGTTGAACAGGCAGAAGATCTTAAATGATTTCCCCCGGGAGGCAACGGCAATCCCATCGTCGTTGTCTCCCCCGGGAACCGTGAAAATAGCTGTGAATGCAACGGTTGCGAAAAGCACGGCTACCACCGTGATTGAATTGGTGGCGTTGTAGATGCCTTGCTGGTGAAGTTTAATCAGCTCTAGGACAATGCCGTCGACGTTTCTGTTTGTTTTGAGGGTTTGTTCGAGCTGAGTATGCACTTCTTTCTTGATCTCTTTCATGGTTTTCCTCAGCTCGTCCGGTGCATTGTTTAGATCGGTCGCTCTCACTGCACCGAAACTGGACAGACACTCTTTTATTTCGGCTATTTCTTCGGAGAGTGGAAGCCCTTCAGCAATGTCAAGAGCTGTTTTATGGTCTCTTGTAAGTGCATTCACACAAGTCTCAGGGATGTGTAAAAGTTCATTCACAATCTGCAACAAAAAACTTAATCAATGCCTTTGCTACCATGTTACATATATGACACTAATCGATTACCAGTACCTCTGTCCGTTTTTTCCTAGTAGCAATGTGTAATGGCGTATTACCGAACTTGTCCGGGAGCGTGACAACGGAAGAATCCGCCATAAGAAGCAACTTCACTACTGTACAGCTTACCCCTTTGACTGCCATATGCAATGCTGTTTGCTCTTTCTTGTCAATCTGTCTTGCCAATTGTGGACCCTTTTCAAGCAATGCCCTAACAATATCTACATGCCCTTGCCTTGCAGCAAAGTGTAATGGATTTTTCCCATTCGATTTTGTTATCTCTAGCAAGCTAGGGTCTTTGCTGAGCAAGACATCGACAACAGCCGTATGTCCCTTTGTCGCTGCCGATACAAGAGGGGTCGCATTTCCTTGCCCGACCGTTTTACATAATTCCGGGTCGCAATCCAATAGAACCTGAACAATGGCTGCATACAAGGGAGCTATTGAATTAACACAAGCTGCAGGATCTTAAGATGCAATTCCAGGATCATAAGAGAGGAAGCTGTTACCTTCATGACCTCGGTTTGCTGCAATATGCAATGGATTGAACCCGAATTGATTCTTCATCGAAAGACCCTCCTTAGTACTATACTGCAAAAGTTCCTTTACGATGTCGATGTACCCTTTCTCGGCCGCGACAAACAACGCCGTCTCGCCTAATTCATTCACTTCACTTGCTATTGCTAACTTGATCTCTTCCACCTTGTTACAAAACCATGTAAAGGGGATAAAATGACAATGCAACAACACATCTAAAATGATACCTTGACATGCAAGCCTTGTTGCTTACCTCGGCATTGAATTCTTGTGCACTAATTGTACCTATCATCTGAGCATCAATGTCCGCCAGAATCTGCCTGATCGCCGCGACATCACCCCGTTGTGCGGCGAGGTGTAGCTCAGTGTCGTTGTGGCGGCCTGTAACTTGTTTCAGGTACTTTTTATCAAATCGAAATCTAGAACTACAACCGGATGTGAGAGACTTGCTCGAACTCGACACCAAGGATTTGCTCGAATTGGATGCCAACAAGGCCTTCCCGGAATTGGATAGAAACAGAGCAGGCCTCGACGTCGGTGATGTCGGTAGCGTCGTCTCCGGTAACAGGGCGGGATGTGAAGGAAGCCCTTTCTCCAGATCCTTCTCGCATTCTTTGCACATTTCAATTCGTGTTCCAAAACGGAAAAAGAAAAATCAATCAATTCTAAGATATCCCATGAATCCAATGATGAAAAAGCAATCCATTTCAAAAACAGAGAGAGAGAGAGAAGGCACCTTCTTCTTCTACACCGGATCCCATGAAGAGATTCAAAAGAAATACGCTAAGAAATCTTCTTCTCCTTGATTCCTATTGGTGGTAAAATGAGAAAGAAAAGAAAGTGGAACAAAAAGAAAAAAAGTGTGGAGGATTGCAGCCGTCGTGTCAGGGTTGTCGACCACCATGCAGGGTCACCGGAGGAGGTATGGGGAAGTCACCTGGTTTCCTTTAATTGGTTGAATTACTTAATTTAGTAAGTTTCCTTTAATTCTGCAAAGTCATATTGTGTGGACTTGGCTTTATTAACATTTACAAAAATGGATAAAATGAATAATTCCGTATGCATAGAAAGCTTAACGCCATTGTTGAGTTTACTCAATCCGGGAAACCTGTAATTACAAAGCAAACAATAATAGTAGGCGAAATTTTTTATGATAGTATATCAACTCACTTTCAACGCGCATAATTTTAATGCCACGCCCGTTTTATATTCCTCTTTTGTAGTTGTAAAAACTTGCTTCTCTGATACTCTAATATAAATCATAAAAAAATATTAAAAATGAAAAAGTAATTTTTTTTTATATAAATATGGAGTAAATATAAGATAATATTTGCTCAAAATTTCTTGATCATTTGACAATAAATGCTCATACCCTGATATATCAAATGCTCGAATCCGCAACCTCAAAGGATAATAATAAATGATATTTGCTATTGATACATTTTAGAAACTTACAGTTGGTTTAATGTTTTGGGTTACACATCTTTTAATTTTGGAATTGAATAAATTGATTCTCCTAGAAAAAAAGAGAATAATTTCATTAATACTCTATATTTTTTAAAGTGAGTAAATAATAATAACAATAAAATATGTGATTGTGTTGATATTTTATGTTATTACATAACACATGCCAAATTGTGATTGGATAATTCTTTTAATAAAACGAAAACCAAAAAATTATATAAATTTTAATATTTTAAATGAAATTTTGAATATTTAATTAAACTCTTACTTTCATTCTAAATATAAAAATCTTAATTAAATTCTCATTATATTAGTTTTTTTAAAAGATGTATAATCTTGCTTTATGAATTTTTATATGAAATTTCTTGAACACGTATGAAGAGTATATATAAATTAGTCAATGATTTTAAATATTGTTTTTTTTCCAAAGAAATTGTGTGCCTTCATCCACAACGTTTCTATCTTTGCAAATCTATTTGGTTTTGGTCTTTAAAAAAAAAAATTGGAATAGGTAGGAGGTCAAAGTCCATTACATCAGGAAACTAAAACAGATGTGGAAGATTCTATAGGTCCTTTAAAAAACTAGAATATGAATTAATCAATGTTATGGTTTATTTTGTAATTATAATGTTATTATATATATATATAATATAATTTCAAATTATAATACGAATGAATTTTATATTTAGATTTTGTAAGTATTCAACAATATTATGCAAAATTCAAATATATATATATATATATATGTGTGTGTGTGTGTGTGTGTGTGTGTTATATATATATATATATATATTAAGAGATATTAATTTATTTGAATTTATAGTGATAATTTTTTAAATATATATAGATTAAATTTTTTTATAATAAAAAACTAATATAAACTTTTAAATATAATAAAAAGATAATAAACTTTTAAGTTAAGTTTATCATAATCAATAAGGTTTATAGAAACCCATTTACAAAAAAAAAAGATACATAAAAACCGTTATAAAGTCGTTATATAACGACCTCGAATACTGTTCTTTTTTCTGGAAAGCACAAGTGAAAAACTCTATACTCTCATGGGCGACCGCATATGCCGCCGATGATGAGACGATGCTGAAGAAGATATAGATGAACTTTCGGAACTGATCTTCACAAAGAACAAATCCGACAAGTAATTCCCTACATCTTCAGGCGAAAATCTGACGATTGATCTCGCATTGCTTTCATCTCCAACCGTTGATTTATGAGTATCGTGAAACTCCCTGTACACTGCGACGAGCTTCGTCCCGATGGAAACCTTGATCTCGTCTCGAAGTTTCGGATCCGGCACGACGGAAGAACTCTGCTTAAAGTACGCATCTTCAAAGCTTATATTAAACTTCCTGAAACATTCTTTAGCTTCCCCGGGGTTCATCGGAGCGGTTGGATTCTCTGGCAATGAGTCTAACACTTTGCCCCAAGCTAACCGCTCGTAGTTGGCGGCGAACTGCCTCACCTTAGCTTCGTGTTTCGCTATCCATTCTTCGCCGAGTATGTACAGGAGATTCGATGTACGGACTCTGGAGAGTACGTGTTGGAGATTGTTGGCTAGAAATAGGTACGATAGCGAGACGTCTTTGTAATGCTTTGATTTACCGTCGAGTTTGCAGAGTAGGACGAGGATTAGCCACGTAATGCGGACGGAGATTGCAGGCGCCGGTGAATCGTCGGAAGCCAGACTGTTGAAGAAAGATTCCGGTACGGATGATCTTGCTGGCGGTGGCCAGTCCGAGATAATGTCAGTAAGGATGTTACCGTAATCGGCCAGGAGAGTGAGGTAATTCATCGTGTTCATCGTTAAATAATGCAGACCGCCGCCTGGAACCATCGTTTTGGACGAGTCCTTTTGGATTGTGGACTCCAAATCAGTCAACAACGAAAGCAACGACTCACTGAGTCGAACCAGCGAGTTCAGAGCTTGTAATCGGACTGCTGAAGCTGATTGAAAAGCGAAGATCGTTTCAATCTCTTGCCAGTCCTCTGAGATAGCCGTGTACATAGCGAGAACACGGAACGTTTTCTCCATCGGCGATTTTCTGGTCTTGGCGACGATTTCCGGGAATCCAAACAGAAGCGTGGCTCCTTCTTTTGAAATCTCGGCGAAACAAGATTCCTTGATGGAATCCGACGTAGCAAAGACGTGATCGCAGAGGATTCTTTCTCCACTGAAAAGCGTCCTCATTGAAATCTTCTCGGCTTGTAACCAGTTCTTGATTTTCAAATCCAGTACATCCCACTCCATTTTATTAACCTGAGACGAGCTTAATTTCTCGATTCCCAACTTATAAATTCCTTCATCGATAATCGATTTTCGAATAGTTTTGTAAATCTTTACGCATTCTTTAGTGTAACCGGAAGCGATCATACATTCTGCTATCAATTTCAGATCGGACATAGCCATAGAAGAAACATCTTCAACTTCAGAGATGGAATCCCCTATTGTGCGAATCTCATCGTCCGGTGAACCGTCATCATCATAATCCGACGTGCTAGTTCTCGTTGAAGTCCGTGATGACCGTGTGGAAATTGATTCCGGATCCAAATCAGCCCGATTCATCGATAAAATCTGGTAAAACTCTTTTTGAAGCCGTTTCATTGCGATTTGCATCAAGTGTTGAGCTTGAGTGAGCTTTTCCGGATCGGAATCTTGATGAGAAACAAGAATATGCATGATCTCTTGTAGCTCGTTGACGGATTTGATGTACTGCATGGCTTCTCTTTTGCTTTCGTAGAAAAGAGAAGTAACTCCAGCGTAAGCCGACGTTTCGGCATCCCATTTCATGATGATTGTTGCGGCGGCGTCGATGGTGGTCTCGATCATGGATCTATGGCGAGGAGTACTGGACAGCGAAGATCTTGAAGGTGATATGGATTGACGAGAAATAGAAAAAGACGACGTTCTGGAGCTGAAACAAAGGCTCTTCATCCTTTTCCCGGCGTGAAGAGGTAGGTCTTTTATTTTCTTATCGGAAGCTTTCGCTTTGTTTGTTTGGGTATTAGGCGTACCGAGTGGGAATAGAGGAATTTATAGAGACGTTGCCTTGACGACGCCGTTGGTGGGATAGGAAGGACGTGGTGTGAGAACTTTGACTTTTGTGTCCGACAACTTCATTTTACGCGCTACACGAACTCCTTGGAACCCAACCAAAGAAATCTTAAAATATTTTCCTTCATATAAAATAATTTTTGTTTTAATTCCTCCGAAATTCCTCTGTAAATCATACTTTTGTCATCAACTCTATCTATGGAAATTTGTAGAGTTATTAAAAAAACCTATAATTTCATATTTTGAATAATTATATATCTTTGACATTCGTAATTTATCTATTGATTATATTATTTAACAATCTAAACTGTTTAGTATGTCGACTAACAATTAATTATTATAATCCTATGTCTGATATCAACATCAAATATCGGTACATAAATCATAATGCAATGCTATAGAAAGAGATAGATTCTTGATCTCTTCCACTATTCATCGTCTTCTTGAACTTATTTACTTTTTGTTTTCTCTACAAGATCATTAACCATGTTTTTTTCATCTAAACAAAAAGAAGGTAAACTATTAGAAATTGTGACAACCCATTTCTCTTCTTAATAATTTTAATTAACATAAAGAATGTTGATATTATTACAACCACTATATTACCAACTTGTTGGAAAATTGTGTCATATGAAGAAATATTCCTGAAACACCAGCCTTAACTTCAGTCAAGGCTATAGGCAATATAGATCTCATGCATTACGGCCATATATTTAATTTTCATTTTTCTCCTTGAAGAGAAAAAATACTGATAAGTTATTGATACTCAAAATCCTGAACATATCCAATTGCACTTTTTTGAAATATTCTTTTCAAAATTTAAATTAACAACTTTTATACAATAGGGTTTGAAGAAGTCTTAATCCTTATGAAAGTTTAATAACCAGAAAAACAACTATAAGCCTCTTTTGCATCCACAGCCACGGAAACATTCTTAGGGTGATTGTCGTTTTTTCTTTCTTTTTTTTAAAATATTTTTATTAGGGTAATTATACCATTAATTGTTAAAGTTTAATAATGTTTACATTTTAATCATTTAATTATAAAAAATTACAATCTAAAGCACACAATTTTCAATAAAAGAATATGATCACTCAACCCTTAATGGAGTCTTTTGAAATTTTGGATAACAATTAATTAATCAATCAAAGTTTGTCATTGGAATAGTCTCTGACGACGACATTGAAGTAGAACAATTGATGGTTGATCAAAGTGATGTAACAATATAATTAGTTTTTAAAACTCGATTGATTTTCCTATAAGTGAATCTGAATTTGGGATTTAATGTTGTAAGAAACTAAAAGTGACGGAATTGAAAACGATAGTAATAATGAAGAGGGATTTAATATGCCCATGAATTCCATGCAATGTTGAAAAGAAGGGTTTATATTTGATATTTTTATTTAATTTGAAATCTGTGTAGGATCTCTGGGAATAAGCGATTGAGATTCGTTAATTTACCACACATTTGTTGACAATTTCTTAAAAAGTAACTCTCTTTTCTTCTTTTTTTTCTTTGCCATGAACTGTAAACAATTCAGTTCATATCTCAACTTTATGGATTTACCAATAAAATAACATAGTCAGCGGTGGTAATTTTAAAGATGGGTTGGTTTCCATTGAGCTTAATTTCTAATTAAAGGTTGAAAATCATGAATTTTGCAGCAAAAAAATCTATAATATTAAACCATGCATGAACTGCATGCTCCTGCAGGAACCCGGAAAGAATATGTACACCGCATCCATATTTATTTTATTATCATTCGATATCTGTATTTTTGTTGATGAAACAAATTGTTATGTCATTTACAAACAATTCATCTCATCTGATTCGGGCCGAAAGTTTTTATTTTTAATTTTATTAAGAGGTGAAAAAGAAAATGATAACTAAGGGGGAATTGGAATCCAATTCCATGAAGGGAGGGAAAGTAAATTTCATCATTAACATGATGGAATTGAAATCCTTTGGAAGAGAGAATGTGAAATTTGACCATATTACCCTCATCAAACTTTTGGTATTCGGGTCGGTTTTTTTTAAAAAAAAAATTCGGGTTCGGGTCGGGTCGTGTTTTTTAAAGTTTGATATTCGGGTCGGGTCGGTTTTTTTTAAGCGTGATATTCGGGTTGGGTCGGGTCGGTCAAGGTTTTTTTTAAAAAAAATTGGGACCGGGTCGGATTTTTTAAAAAAAATCAGGGTCGGGTCGGGTTTTTTTAAGTGTGATATTCGGGTCGGGTTTTTTTAAAGTGTGATATTCAGGTCGGGTTCGGGTTTAGGGTGAAAAATACCCGATCCGACCCGAAAATATATATAATTTTACCTTATATATTTAGGAATAATTACAATAATACCCCTCTATATATAATTTTTTTTCAATTAAATCACTGTTTTTATTGAATAAAAATAATTTTTTTATTATTTCGGGTCGGGTCGGGTGAAACTTTATTTTGGTCGGGTTGGGTCGGGTATTGGGTGGAGGTTCCCTTATTCTTGGGTCGAGTCGGATGGACCAAAAACCCGACCCAACCCGACCCAACCCGACCCATGGCCATCCCTAATTGGGATGATTTTAACTTATGATGTTTATTAGTATGATTTTTATAATTTATTGAAATGAATAATCAATCAATAAAATGAAAATTTAATATTTTTTAAAATTTTTATAATATATTACTACATGTAAGTTATAAAAAAACTAAAATTAAGCAAAAAAAATAAGAAGGGCAATTATGTCATTTTACATTACTGAAATCAAATTCATCTGACATATCTGCGAACCAAACAGAATATGGAATTGGATTCCAATTCAATTTCCTGCCAACCAAATAGATTTCAGATTCAGATTCCAATTCCTTCAGATTCCAATTCCTTCACAGATTTCAATTCTCTCATAAACATTCCAGCGAACCAAACTCCACCTTATAATAATTTTTAATGTTATCTTAGATATATAATTATAATGACTATATGTAGATTTTATACTAAGAGCTTAGTGTTATCATCCCACATGTAAATTCGAACTAATGAAATAGTCCTAAAGAAAGGTGGGAAATCATTCCACATGTAAATTCGAACTAATGAAATTGTCCTATAGAAAGGTGGGAAATGAAGTTGGATGTGGTTTGGCAAAAATTAAATAAAACGCGGAGACTGTGTAGACAGACCCGCTGGGTCGTGGTCATTTGACCTTTGGGATTCCCATATTTTACTTCCGTTTCATCTAACTAACCGGAAGAAATAAAAGCCTTTGCTATATTATTGGACCATTAACGTCGCGGACTTTCTTGCACTTTTTTTACGCGAGAATAAACATTAATCGGATAAATTATGTATTTAATCATCTAAATATTCTTGTAGTTCTATTTTAATCATTTAGCTATTTTTCAAAACAATACTTAAACTTGCACTTTAATTCTGTTGGTCATCTATCATTAAAAAACTTAGTAATGATGCTGACGTGTTAGCATAAGGTAATGTCATAATATTATTGAAAAATTAAAAACTATTAAGTCAACGAGTCTGTTTATTTTTTACTGATAATTGACTAAAATAAAACAAAAGTATAAATTTATATAATTTAAGGAAATAGTTAAATGATCAAAATAAAATTGTATAAATAATTGGGTGACTATATACAAATGGTTCACCCAAATTGATTATACCATTCAAACCCTAGTCTTCGAAATTTCTATATTGATTTTTAGCGCGTGACGGCTCTAGTTTGTGGCAGGGAGCATTTCAGCTAGAAAATGTTCGTTCAAGACTCCATTTCCACCGCTCCTTAAACCACGATTCTATATTTAATGTTGAATTTTAAAAACTAGGTTTTATGTCAAGTTTGAATGAAAATTAATTATTTAATTAAGAAAAAAATTAATAAATGGTGAGATTAGTTCGATTGGATTTTTTAAAACTTTAAAACTATTTATTTTATTTTAATTTAATTCGGTTATAATTTTTTTTATTAATTTTACATTTTATTTATCTTAACTTATTATAATATATATTTTTTGATTAGCTTGAGTTGGTTACGAGATAATATCAATTTAAAAGGCTTTAAATAATTTAGAAAATGAACATTAAAAAATCCTAACAAATATCATGCTCAAACTTAAGACTTCTAAGAATAACAATTATCTCTTAATCACTAAGATATTCATTTGAAAGGCTTTCAATAATTTAGAAAATGAACATTCAAAGATCCTTACAAGTATCGTGCTCGAATTTAAGACTTTTAAGAATAACAATTATCTCTTAATCACTGAGATTATTTGATTCATATTATAATATAATAAATTTGTCTCTACATTTTTTTAACATATCAAATTTTGCATATTTTAGGCGTGAAGTCAATATCAAGTATCATTGTCATTAATTGGTCAAGATCCCGGCGCCGCCGAAGTTGTTACGATCAACAAGACGAAAGCAAAACAATTTCGTGTAATGCCATTACTGTTATACCGAGTCATTTGCATTTATTATATATTTCTTTCTATGTTTCAACTACCCAAATTTAACGACATTTTCAAAACTATATATCCACATTCTATTTTCAATTATTCAAAAAACAAGATCTTATGGAACCAGGATCAATTGATTTACCCTGGCTACAGGGTGAACTCCCATCTTCGATCCCCTGGCTAAAAGAGGGGTAAAACATTCACCTGGTAGTGAAAAACCCTTTCAGATCCTGGCTCACTGATCACTTTCTTTCAAGTAGACCCCGCCTACTTGTCCGAAGGCAAGGCTGCTACCAACTTGGAAGGGAGAGGTTTTAGACAACAAAGCAACTAGTCTTAACTCTTCCTCCCCTATCTTTTAAAGCTTCTTCTTCAAAGGAAGCATCCACTAGCTAAAGGAAGCTAACTGGGTTGGTTTGGCCGAACCTAGCCGCAAGACAAGACTGAGATAGAAGTGGTA